AGTGATTTGAAATTGCTCCACACCAGACAATCTGCCAGGCTCTGCTGTCTGTGGGCTCTAAGACCTCTGACGAGTCACATAGCTCCCTTCTTCAGCAACTGCATCTGTAACTGCTGTGCTGACTGTGAGGTGAACTGAGATGAGGCATGGTGACTCTTCAACTGTTTGCTGTAACTTCTGCCTTCTGGCTGTATTGTTATACAGTACTGACCACTCACTATAGCCAGAACCCGGGGTAGCTTTCAAATGCTAACGGAAAGAATATGGAGAGAATAGTCCCTAGGCCAAGAAGCAATACTCTTCTGCCAAGTTTTCATCCTCTGAGCTTGCTAGCTGCCCAGATGCCCTAATTCCACCTTGCTCTTGGAGCTCCATACTCTCAGATGATCTCAAGAGCTGGATGGCTGGGTGTGGGAGCTGGGACTCTGCTAGATGAAATTTGGCTCTAGGACATGTCTTTTTGTGAGCTGTGATTTGCCTCTTAGTAGTCACTGTAGTTCCACTGCAGTCCGTCAGTCAAGACCTTTCTGTAATAGCCTAGTCCGTCAGTCAAGACCTTTCTGTAATAGCCTTTCTCATTTGTCTTCATTTGATTCCCATGGGGCAGATAACTTAGATAAACAGATCCTTCGATTCAAACACAAACTGCTGGCTCCTGCCCCCAGTCTTCGGTCTTTGCAATTCATTTTCTTTGGTGTGTCACAAACCAATGAAAAATAGTGCAGAGTGAGAATAATTAGGACAGGGGCTGGGGTGGCTAGACAGAGAGGCACTCAACAACATCCATGAGGGCCGGACAGTTGAGCTGGTTGGATGGAACTAAGCTCCAATGCCCTTCGACGTTTACGAGAGCCAAATGGGATATGGGGCAGACTGAACTAGTCTGCTACACATACTGGCAAATCAGGGCAGGGGTGGGCCTGGTGGGGATGATTGGGGGGTCGCTCTGACTAGGCTGCAGCTCCCATTGGTATGTGTGATGGCCAAATATGTGATGAGCAGAACCAAGCTCGACTGCAACACCCATTGGTTCCAGTGGAAGTCGGAACCAACCCAGCAATTGCGATCGGGGAGATGGACTGTGCCAGGTCCCATACTTGCTAGTACATATAGGAAACTGGACTGGGAACACCTCAAAGTTTCCTTGGGGATCCACTCAACCGAAATGGTGAACTCAGAACCTTAACCAAGAAAAGACAGAAGATAGAACCACCACAGCTATATGTTGGCAGCAAAACACTGGACAAAGGGAGACTCTATGATGGGCTATGTCAATCAGTAGATTATTCAACAGCCTCATTGTGTCTGGAGTGGCGAGACTGGCAGCAATGCATAACTGGTGAACTACCGGGACCACTTGAGCAAGGATCTCAGAGTATGCCCTGCATCTGGGACATGGGGTGGGTGGGAGACTGGGTGGGGCTTCTCCTCAATATTTCCTTCAGCCCTTGTAACTTTTTACCCTAATCAACAATGTAAAGATTACCAAAATATAATTTAAAAAAATAGTGCAGAGTGAATATTGTCTGGACATGGAATTGGATTCTTACTGGGTTTTGTCGATGGGAAGAAGTGGAATTGAGAGATTATATGATTGTTTATAAACTTCTATTTTTGGTTTTAAGTCCAATAATATTTCAGTTGAGAGCAGTTGACAGAGTAAGAGGAAGCATGGATGGACTCCAATGTAGATCACGGAAATATGGGAAGTCATAGGTAAATCCAAAGGCAGATGATTCATAAATGATGATTTTAAGAATGAGGTGGTGGTATATTCTTTGGGACAATTTCCCCTGTCTCTTCCTTCCTCTTTCTCTCCCTCACTTTTCCTTTCCCTACTTGAATATCTCTGTCCCCTCTTTCTCTCTCCCCCTTTTCCCACATCCTCAGCCATTCCTTCCTGGCTAGGCCTATGAGAACAGGGTATTGTCAGAGATATTTTGATGTGCCAATTCTGGCTCCATCTTTGCTGCTTCCTACCCGAGTGATCCCCATGCCGCTGGATCTGAGCTTCCGCATGTGTAAAATCAATAGTAGCTGGGGCTGGACACATGAGATTAAAGAGCTCTACATTTTCTCTGCAGTGGCCTCCTTGGCCAGTCTGGGGTCTGGCAGCTCTCAGCAACTGGTCACTTTAGAAAATCCCCAAAGCAGATAAATGCTTGCAGGAGGATTGAGAAGCTGCTGTAATCACATCAGGGTCCATCCATTTTAATAGATACTTTCTGGGATCACTGGCCAACCCAGGGATGATGCTGGCTGGAAACACGATGGATCTGTTGGAACGGCCAGCCCTATTTCTAAACACAGCCTCAGGGAAATGCCCATGTCCCTGGCAAGGGGCCACTGAAAGGCTTGACTAGGTGGTATCCCACAAAGTCTTGGGACAATCTAGGTTCTGGATACTGACAATGCCACATGTAGGAGCTGCATGACCTTCAGTGAATCCTGTGGACACCTGTCCCTTCCCTCCCTCGTGGAATAGCCACCTTCTAGAACTGTGGTAAGCATTAAGGTTCTGGGAGACTTAACAGGACCTACTCGGTATGGGTCCTTGGTATTGGTAGTGGTGGTGGCTAGTATTCCCAGAGGGCTCTCAAGGGGCTTGGGCTGAGCACTGGTCCCAACACTGGCTCCAGTGCCCGCGGTCCACTGCTGGCCGTTCCAGGAAGCCTGACTCTTGGTTAGAGATGCTGCTGATTGGAATGCCCACTACATTCTCTGACTGAGGTGCCCAGGCGTTCTGGTCCAGAGCTTGAGGATTGTTTAGCACAATCCGCTTGGCTCCCTAATGAAGTTATTTTTCGAAACTGCCCTTTGTCAAGGTCTTGTCTTGTCACGTCACTTCTTTCTGGTCAGTTCTCTCTGGGTCCCTGCCAGAGCAGGGAAGCAAAACCGTGTGGTCGCCTGCTCCCCATTCTGTCCCTCCCTCCCTCTCCCGCCGGGAGAGAAGGTGGTTGGAAGCAGGACGGCGCTGTTCGCTTTGCAGACCATGCGACTGAAACAAGCCCTGGTCATCCAAGGCGGCTAAAGTTGCCACTAACGCCGGCCGAAACTTCTGTTGTTTAGGGGCGCACGCGGCGCGGGGAATGTTGGATAAAGTCGGGCTCGGCACGAAAACCTCCAGCCTTTATCCTGAGAGGTCGCTAAAGTGCTTTGCTGGGAAGCGCGATTAAGCAACACTTCATGGACTTCTCCATTTTGCCGGGTCCACCTGGATAACATAAAACAAAAATAAAGGCCCGGGATGGAACTGTCATTGTTTGCTTTTAAAAAAAAGGGTGGGGGGGGGGAGTGGGAGGAGGTGGAGCAGGAGTGGGGTCACGTGACTGCGAGTAACCGCTTCAGCCGAGCGCCTGCCACCCCAAGTTTGCAGCAGAGCCTCCTCCTCCCGGCGGGGGCGCTGACGTCACGGAAAAGCCCTGGCGCGGCCGGCGGCTCCCTATAAACCGCGGGGCGGCGGCGGCTCCGCAGGCGGCGGACCCCGCATCCCGGACCCGCACCCGGCGCCCCGCAGCCCGGACCCGCACCCCGCGCCCCGCAGCCCAGACCCGCACCCCGCGCCCCGCAGCCCGGACCCGCACCCGCACCCGGCGCCCCGCGCGGAGAGAACCGCGCGCGCACCCCTCCCGCGCCCCGCGCCCCGCAGCCCGGACCCGCACCCCGCGCCCCGCAGCCCGGACCCGCACCCGCACCCGGCGCCCCGCGCGGAGAGAACCGCGCGCGCACCCCTCCCGCACCCGGCGCCCCGCAGCCCGGACCCGCACCCCGCGCCCCGCGCCCCGCGCCCCGCAGTCCGGACCCGCACCCCGCGCCCTACGCCGACTGCCCGCTCCGGCTGTGCCAAGTAAGGGCGCGCTGCGGGAGAGGGGCTCTCCCCGGGAAGCTGTGGCGGGGAGCGGGCGCGTTTCCCCGCAGCTTTGCAAATTGAGAAGGGAGTTCTTGGGGCGTGGGATCGAGCTGTGGGCTTCTGGAAGGGTCAAGGTGTGTGTGTGTGTGTGTGTGTGTGTGTGTGTGTGTGTGTGTGTGTGTGGTGTGTAGATGTCGCTTCGGTTCAGCCGGCCCCCTGGGTCACTTCCTGCTACAGATCAGAGAGACTTCGTGCTCTTGTCGGAGGTGAAAACCACAGGCTAGGTAGAGGGCAGAAGTGGAGCTGTGGAGATTGGGGGGCGGTGATGCTGGGGAACCGAGTGTCTGTACACTTCTCACTCGCACCGTTGTTGGTGCATCTTGCGTGTGGACATGCATTTGCATGTGTGTGGATTTCACAATTGCTTGCAGCAGAAATAAACTTATGTGCACCCACTTTTTGCACTCTATGAAATAGCGGAGGAGTAGGGACCCCGGTACACAGATAGGCTACCTTGCCAAGGCAAAGTTGTAGCCGAGTTATTGGAGTTGCTGGCAGAAGGTGGAAGTCTTGAGTTGAATTAAAGAAGTCTCCGAGTGGAAGTGGTCTGCTCAGCGTGCGACGCCTCCTCTGTGGGTGTGTTAGGTCTGAATGTGAGCAGGCAGTTTCCCCTTGGGAGTAAGGAGGTAACTGGAGGGGAGGGGGGCAGAACTGGGCTGTAGCCTTCCAGCACAATCACCCTGGCCACTTCACTAACGGTCTGTTCAGGTGGCTGGAGGGCATCAGGGCAGCTTGACTAAACATGGAAGTTCCACTAGTGCCTGTCAAGTCCCGCCTGGGGAAGGGGCAATGATGTCATTGCCACGTGTCTCCCCCGCCTCCCTGCCCAGGCATCAACGCCTGCTGGCCACTGGTGCCTAAGAGCCTTCTTTAGACAAGAGCCACCAACCTGGCCAGCTGGTCTCCACCAGCTGCCTTCACTTGTTGCTCTTCGAACCTTTCTGTGTGGCTGTCTGCTACTCCCGGCTGTCTCTGACACAACCCTGAGTAGGGTTCCAGGGCTTCCCTGAGGATGGAGGAAGCCCACGAGCAGCGGGCGATGCTGCCGGTACTTTTTAATCCCTGGGGATGGCTACCCATTCGAGTGTGTGGGGTGTGTGAGAGCCGGGCTGTCTGGGGTTTCGGAGAACTGGACGATTTCGTTGGCGTTCTTTCTCCATCTCATACAACAGCCCTGATGCCTGTCCCGCTGTGTTGGAAGCCCACTGCCCCCACCTCCCCTCTCCCAGCCTCTCACTCGGGTTTGCTAATGCTGGCATCTTCTCCAATCTGCTTCGTAGGACCCGACAATGACTCTCAACAACGTCACCATGCGCCGGAGCACTGTGGGCATGCAGCCCCAACAGCAGCGCTGGAGCATCCCAGCTGATGGCAGGCATCTGATGATTCAGAAAGAACCTCGCCACCGACCTGCCCCCGCCCCCGACGACCACTGCCGTCGGAGCTGGTCCTCCGACTCCACAGACTCGGTCATCTCGTCCGAGTCCGGCAACACCTACTACAGGGTGGTGCTGATAGGGGAACAGGGCGTGGGCAAGTCCACACTGGCCAACATCTTCGCTGGTGTGCATGACAGCATGGACAGCGACTGCGAGGTGCTTGGAGGTAGGTCACTCAGCCTTGTGGGGCTTCCGTCTGACAGGCCAGAAGAACAAGAGGGCAGCCAGGTTATGCCTTATTATGAGAACTGAGCGTGTTATGCCTTTTTGACACTGGGTTGTAGGAGAGTTGGGTACCCAGGAAAGCCTCTGGCCCAGCTTGGGAGAAGAAACGATACTGCTTCCAGGCAAGACCCAAATCTGTTGGCTTGGAGCCAGCGCGTCTTAGATGATAAATCTAACTGGACTAGGGAAGGTAATTAAAGGGGGTAGCTAGGATCCCACTTCCCGTTTACACGGAAGGTGACCAAAACTTTATCCATGAGCTGGGGATAGTTGCTGGCTTTCCCTTTGCTTATACCTAAAGCCAAAACAACTGGGTGGGTTCACCAGTTTCCAGCAATAGTTAGAGCCTTCCGTGGGCGTGCCTAAAAAGGTTTATAATATATATTTAAAACGATGTAAAACGTTTTGAAAATAATTTGAAGCACACAGTGCTGATAAGTGCTTTCCATGGAGGCTGGTGGGTTTTCAAGACATGTTTTTCTCACACAATCTCCTTTAATTAGTTCAGTCTTGTCTGTTACTGAAACTGATTGGAAGTGATGTCATCAGCACACGGATTCCTCAAGGAGATGGCAACCCAGCTCTGTGTTCTGGGGTGTCTGTGGCAGACCCTTGCCGCTTTAGCCTTAGCACCTATGGCTGCAGGAGCTGGGTGTCCCAGTTGGTAGTTGTCGACGTGAATGAAGAGCTTGCTGGTGCTTACCCACCTCGCATAGTCAGTCTGTGCTCTCAGCTACTACGCACGCTGAATCACAGCCTTCCTGAGTGGGAAGGCACCTTAGTGATGACTCAGTCTCCACACCTTCGGCTTCCTGATTGTACCCCTGGCTCCCAGCAACCGTTTGGTCTAAAGCATTTCTTCTTTCTGATGTCAGGGTCAGGGAGGTCACTGCTTCTTCACGAGGCAGCTCAGGAACTGGCTTGTTAATGATGACTCATTGATGTTCCCATTGATTTCTCTCCTCCCTCTGGACTCGCTCTGTGAGAGTCAAGGAGAGGGGGCTGTTGTGCTATTGATTCTCTTCCTAGGGTCTGGAAGCTGCCTTGCTGAGAGAGAGAGAGGAGAGACTGCATGCTGAAGGGGGCTTTCTCAGGTCCCTTCTCTCTGCTGTTATTTGCCTTGGGGGAGAAAAAAGTCATCCAATGACTGGGCTTAGCATTTGGGGAACCTGCTATAGAATCTGGGACTTAATCATTGCACGTTGTTACATTTGTCACTCTGGTGTTTTGGGGGCTGGGAGGAGGTACTGTGTGCCAAGCACTGTGCTAAGTACCTCCTGTAGTACTTTTGATAAAACTGAAAGTAGAGCTTATGTGGCATCAATATGACTATTTTACAGAATGAAATGGAGGTCTATGAAGTCAGCTTACCGGTAGTGTGTTATGGCCAGGATTAAAGCCCAGTTTTGGTTGAATCTAAACCCTGTGTTCTTTGTCTCCTGTGGCTCCAGGATTTAGCTTGCGGTTGGGTGAGGTATCAGCCTGGCTCCATGCGAATCTCTGGGGCACCCAATGATGAGGACGTGTTGTCCTAGCAAGGAGCCCAGTGTCAGGGGCTTTGATTTGAAGCCGGCTGAACCAGAGGAGCCCTGGAGGAAATCACACTGGGGGGCTTTGGGTGCAGGGAAAGATCAGCCCAGAGCTGTTTTGCTTTTGGTATTTTTGAAACCAGAAATCTATAGTGGATTTTTAAAACTACTTGTCCATTAAAATGGAGGACTGTCTGCACAGAGGCTGGCCTCCCAATAGGATTCCATAAGCAGTAAGTGTCAAGAAGCCCAATTCATACTTGGAATTTGGAAAGGCAAGCGTTATGCTTAGGCAAATGGAAGAGAGCTAGAGTATCCTTTTCTAACTTCTTCAACTGATAATCTTTGACAATGAAGTTCTCAAATGAGCCATCCCATCTGATGTAGCCTATTTGAATAACTTAATTCACGCCATCAAAGTTGTGTCACTTGTTTGTAGGCCCTGTAGATTTTGTTTCTGAAGAGGAAGATTTTACAAGGCATAGCCCTATTTTGGTTTTAATTTTTTAAAAAGATTTATTTATTTTTATTGCAAAGTCAGATATACAGAGAGGAGGAGAGACAGAGAGAATGATCTTCCATCCGATGATTCACTCCCCAAGTGACCACAATGGCCAGTGCCGCGCCGACCTAAAGCCAGGATCCAGGAACTTCCTCCAGGTCTCCCACACAGGTGCAGGGTCCCAAGGCTTTGGGCCGTCCTCAACTGCTTTCCCAGGCCACAAACAGGGAGCTGGATGGGAAGTGGAGCAGCTGGGATTAGAATCGGCAACCATATGGGACCTGGCACATTCAAGGCTAGGACTTCAGCTGCTAGGCCACTGTGCTGGGCTCTGGTTTTTATTTTAATTCAGCATTAGCCATTATAAAAAGATTAACACTATTATTATTTCTCCTAGTACAGATGGATGTTATTCCAATTATATTGCAGCAATCTTATGATTTTTATATACATTTAATGACATTCATTCATTTTTAAATAATAACAAACATTGGGGCAGAGTAAAAATGCTCATGGAAAAACTAAGTATGGGTTTCAAATATTTTTGGCAACCACATCAACTTATCTTTTAGTTCCATTTACCAGAAGCTTGTTGAAGCCCCCTTGTGCACCCTGGAATTTGATGAAGTACCGAAGGGTTCTGCAAGGGTCCTTCTCTTGCCATGCTCCTAGGGTGCAGTGGAGACATCAAATATGAATCCAGATGGAGTTACAAGGAGAACACTGTGGGAATTCAGAGAAGCCTGACTTCTGGCTGTGAAAGTGAGAAAAGGTGTCATGGATGAGATGGTCTTGAAACTGGACCCTAAAGGCAGCTAGGAGTTAGGAGCCCAAGCGAGGTGAGAAGATACTTTACACACACACACACGCACAGAGCACTGGGTTGCTATGTAAGACTAATGGGTAAATTAGGCCTCAGCTCTGGCCCTGATCTACCTGATACTCTCAGGCCAGCGACTTCACCTCTTGTGCCTTCCTCCTTAGAATAATTGGGATAATACCTACTTTTTTGAATGGTGGATGATTAAGGTAAGGTGGTGGCACTCTAAGCCTGTAGCATGATGTCTAGCACATGAGAGATGGGGAATCAGCATGAGTTAGAGCTGATTCTGACTTTGCCATTTCCTTTTAGTGTGGTTCATCTTCCTAGAGTGACAGGTTCATGGTCTGCCTTACTGTACTGGTCACCCCTGGCTGGGGTCCTTCTGGATAAACAGAGCAATGAAAACCACTATAAATAGGATGGCATTCTTAGAGCACGTGTTTCACTGAGCACCTGCAAGGTACCGAGCACTGTTTGCTGGAGGAGGCAGTCAACAGCGCTCAGATTGCACTCAGATTTGCACTCAGACTGTAAGAAACAGAAGGGAAGAGACTGATAGAATGAGTGAATGGATTGCAAGTTAGAGGGCACTCAGCATAATGGAGAGCAGTGGAACAGAGAAAGAAGTAGGGAATACCTGTGGGAGCACAGTGCTGCTGCTCAGGGAGCACCTCCCCCAGAAGGAGGTAAGGGCACAGGCTGTATGGATATCCGAGGAAAGAGGTTGCAGGCCGAAAAGAACGGCGAGAAAAAAATGAGACTCATTGTGCAAGTCATTCTTTGCAATGGTGAAATTTGAAACAGGAAATCTCATTGGGAAAATAGAACATGGGTGGGTTCCATTAATGGGAAGCCCTCTTGCAAAAATTCCAGTGCTCCTCTTCCCCTTCTCTATCCCCACCTCACCTCCCCCCAGCTGTTTCCTGGCCTGGAGCAGCCCTGGTCCCTGGTAATACATTTACCCTTCACCTACACCCAGTCTGGGCACAGATGCAGGGAGGAAGTTTCCATTACCACAGAGAGCTAGAGGCTGTACTTCTGCTGTGCTCGAGAGATGGAAAACAAGCCCATTTATTTCCATGGAACTGCATTTGTTTCAGAGGCGGAAAACTGCTGCCTAAACAGGGATGGTCTCTAGATTTTTTTTTCTTTATACTTCTCTAAAAAGGAGAAAGGTCTCTGAGTGAGCAAGCTCAGAGCTCCTGAAACGGCCAGTGGGTGTTGAGTGCCCACCCACCAACAGGGATGATGGATTGCACGTGACGTTGATTACAACAGGCTTTGCAGCCGATGCTGCCGCATGACATCAGCCGTCGCCTCTGAGCACAGCGCTCTTAAGGGGGCTGACCCTCAGAAGTGATTTCCTGGATCCAGGGTCCAGGAGTGATGACAGCAAATGCCTTTCACTTCAAGTGCTCTGGAGCTGGAGCCATGTACATAGAATGTTGTTGAAAAAACAGTAATGTACCTTTGCAAGTATTTGTGGATTTACATCATTCATTTTCCATTTAGGAAGTTTAGCATAATCATTTACATGGCCTTCTTATATATAGAAATATTTTCTAGTTCCCTGACTCCAATATCCATTTTCTTCTTTTCCAGAAGATACGTATGAGCGCACCCTGATGGTGGATGGGGAGAGTGCAACAATTATACTTCTGGACATGTGGGAGAATAAGGTATGTGCAGCTGGCAGGGCCGCCTGTCAGCAGGCTGCTTGGTGTGAGACTGACCTTGTCCTACAACCCTGGTGTTCCAGACAAAGTGGGTTCATTTTATTGATTAAAAACACTTCCTTCTGAAGAATAAGAACAGGTCTTCCACAATGAGCTCTGAATAATAAACAGGTTGTAGTGACTCACTCTTAGGTGTATTTAAAAATGCAAAATGAGTGTTTCTGTTCAGGGGATGTACAAACTAGGGTGAACAGTCTGGATGGCCTCACTGCTTTGGAGTGGTTTCTCTTTTAAAGGTTTATTTGTTTGAAAGGCAGAGTCCCAGAAAGGGAAGGAGCTTGGGGAGAGGAGCTGGTCCATTCTCTGGTTCATTCCCAAGACTGTTGTAACTTCTGGGGCTGGGCCAGGCTGAAGCCATGAACCCAGCACTCCATCCGGGTCTCCCTGGTGGCTGGTAGGGGACCAGGAACTTGGGCCATCTCCTGCTTCTTTCATAGGCACAATAACTGGGGGCTGGATTGGAAGTGGAGCAACCAGGATTCAAAATGGGTGCTCCAGTATGGGATGCTGGCATTGCTAGTGCCAGCTTAACTCACTGCCAAAATACAGGCTCCAGGAACAGTGATTTTAAATGATGTAAGACCATCTTCGATGAAGTTGCGAATTTCAGTGCTAATTTAAAACATTTGCCTTTTGAAGATTTTGTACTTCTGAACATCTAAGTTAGACTCTCAGTTTAATGGAAATGTGCATATTTTCACTAAAGGATTCTTAATTTTCACTTGGGGAAGGCAAGATTAAAATTTTGACAAGTCAGAAAAGGCTTCTTTTTGGCAGTTCAAATAGCAAATGGGAATGTTATTTGGTAGGGTGTTTGGTTAATTTACCAAGTCAAGCTATAGAAGAAATTGGAAAGTAAAAACCTTTTTGATAAGGATGTCATACCAGCTAGCCAATGCTGTACCAATTAGCCATCTTGATAGCCACCAGACATCTGGTAGACCTGGGTGGGTACTGCATTTTGAGGACTTGGAAGTATTTTTTTCTTCTCCTATCAGCATGGGTATTTTAGGATGCAAGTATCATTTCTTTGCACATTGACCCCTCCTTTCCCAAGCCAGCCTAAGCTCACAGAACATCTTGTCATTCCATTAGGGGGAGAATGAATGGCTCCAAGACCACTGCATGCAGGTCGGAGATGCCTACCTGATCGTCTACTCCATAACAGACCGGGCAAGCTTTGAGAAGGCATCTGAGCTAAGGATCCAGCTCCGCAGGGCCCGGCAGACAGAGGACATTCCTATCATTTTGGTTGGCAATAAAAGTGACTTAGTGCGGTGCCGGGAAGTGTCTGTATCAGGTACGAGGAGTGGTGCCAGCGCTGCAGCAACATTGTGGGTTGTAAGCTTTGCCTGCAGACTGCTGCCCTTCCTTCTGTCTCTTGTGAGGCTAAGACCAGGAACTCTGATCCCCCTATATTCCCAGCAGACTGTTTCCTTACTAGGGAGGCTGCTCCCTTTGGCCATCTGGTCTACCTGCAGGATTCCCATCTGCCTAAATCAAGCAGTTGGCTGAAATGCCTTTAGGGAGATCATGCTTAGCAAACACTGTCCTTTGTGTTCCCCAAGAAGATCCCAAGAGTTCAGAGAAGTGAAATAAGCACCTTCATGCCAGAAGAGTCATGAACTCTGATTTAGGAAAACTTGTGCAAAGAGTGACTAAAATACAGAACTTACCATGGCTGCCTCTGATCCCTCTAAACCTAGAAACATACTCCGAGTTTCTGTTTCTTGCTTTCCAAAGTTGAGGCACAGTCTGATGGGTGTCACGCTACTTGTTCAGACTTAGTTCAGGGATCATTCGTATTTACTGAGGGGGCATTGAGATTTTATTGGCCTAATGCAGATTTGGTCTCTGCTATGATTGTAAAATTAAAATGCTGCATTGCTGGGCCCTGTAAGGAGAAGGGAAGCCTTTTAAAGACAACAGTTTTGGGACAGTCTACTTATGAGAACATGACTATCTGCCATAATCATTTTCTTCCAAACCTGAACTAGACATGTGGAAAGACTGAAATATTTGAAACAGAGACAGTTCCAAATGAGCCTGCATAGTTTGCTCGGAGTGTATTATGCAACTGTAAAACCCTCAACTGTTTTTCAAAATATCTCAGCACTGCTTGTCTTCTTTTTTTATAAAGAGCGGAAAACCAAGTAGTAGATTGTTCTTATAGTCAGCATTCTTATTTTTAAGTTAGGAGAAAGATTTAAGAACTTGGCCTTGAGCATGAGACAGCCCTGGGCTCACCTCCAGGCTGTGTGAACTCCCTCAATTTTTAAGACTCTCTTCATCTTCTTCACCTAGGTAATAGATGACTAATGTATTTTCCAAGATTTTTGTGAGCATTGAAAGTGTTTATAAAGAGCTCAATGTTTAGGTCTTGGCTCTTGGTAGGGCCATTAAGGCTATGCTTATTTTATTATTATAATTGCCATTACCGTAGAAGGGTACATCAAAAGGTTTATGGAATTAAACAATTAAGAGATTCATATTCGTTCAAAAATTTTTCAAACCCATGTGAATGAAGAATCTTCAACAAGTTCATGAAAAACTAATATAATACAAAAAGATGTATGAATTTCAAAACAAAATTTTGCATGAAAAAAATACACCTTCTTGTTTAATTTCATGAATTTTTTTTTGAGAAACCCTTATATTACATGAAATTGAGTTTTTACCCAGTGCATTTGTGGTTGACCAGATCTCAGGCCCATGTCTCCTGTTTCCAGGGATCCTCCTGTGAAACAGCCAGGGAGGGTGTGCTTCCCATTGAGCTGACTTAGAATGAGTAGGAGCTTAGTCTGCTTGCTCTCTGACCTTCTCCCCTCCTTTGCTGACCAGAAGGGAGAGCTTGTGCTGTGGTGTTTGACTGCAAGTTCATTGAGACCTCCGCGGCTGTCCAGCACAATGTGAAGGAGCTGTTTGAAGGCATCGTGCGCCAGGTGCGCCTGCGCCGGGACAGCAAGGAGAAGAACGAGAGGCGCCTGGCCTACCAGAAGAGGAGAGAGAGCATCCCGAGGAAAGCCAGGCGCTTCTGGGGCAAGATCGTGGCCAAAAACAACAAGAACATGGCCTTCAAGCTCAAGTCCAAGTCCTGTCATGACCTTTCTGTGCTCTGAGCTTTCAGAGAGATACGGATGTCCCCTTGATGGACATTGTAGGAGGCCGTTGGTGCTGGTAATCTATATTAGATTGGATTCTTAAATACGGCTAGAGGTGGCTTTCCCCAGTGCAGCCTGGAACTCACTCATACCTCCTGGGCAACGTGCTTAATAGGGGATGAAGGAGCCGAGCACACAATCAGTATTTATTTACAGGAAAAGCCTGACCTTGTTACTTAAGTAATAAGGTCTTCATATGTATTTCTTCTCTCCTTTGGATAGTGAAGAAGTGAAGCCTGCAGAGGAATGCCTGCAACAAGAACTGTTATCCCAACATTTTCCCCAGTGTTCTGATAGGTGAATATGAGGCCGTTGGCTCACAAACAACTCTTGGAAGGCTAAGAGTATATATTCCCAAAGAGGTAGAACTTTCTATACACCCTGTTTCTGTGGAGCTGGTCTTGTAGAGCTAACCTCATCCTCATGGTTCTGACTATTGTTAATCCATCAAACTGTGAAAAGCAATGAGAGGTCTTGCTGGAAACTAAATCTTACGGAGCAGTTTCTGCTAGTGCCTAAAGAGGTCTGTAGGGTTGGGAATTGATACACGTACCACCTGGAGACTCAGAAATTGTATCTTACGTGTCTTAACATATTTTTATGTAAGGGGAAATTAATCAAAATCTACTTAATCAAACCACCTTTTGTGTTTCATTATTTTCCAAACCATGGAGCCATCATGAAATGTTTTTGAAAATCTGAATTACTGATATCCTGCAGTGCAAGATGCCAAATGTTCAAACATTATCCAAGGTCTGATTTTTTTATAAAACACACAACAAGAAAGCTTTCAGAACTTTGGGGTGACCCTTGTATGCCACAGCTGGGCTCTATTTATTATTATTTTGCAACAATAACCATTTTAACATTTGATAAAGCATATTTATGAACATATTTCTTAAGAAGTTCATTTTATTACCATTTTCTATCTTTTTTCAAAATATGTAAGTTTTTACCTATATGTCTTATAATAAAAGAAATAAAATCTTTGAAAAAAAAAGGCATTCTTAAATGTTTTCCTCCCTGTTAGAATGATTGTGGCTCTTCTCATGTAACTGGCAAGTTCATTCTAAAGTGATAGACCTGTTATTTTATTTCTGTTTCTCATTGGCAGTAGCCTGATCATAATCTGTTTAAAAAGTGTCCCAACATGTCTGCTTTGGAATTATGATCTGTGATAATGCCAAGTTGCTCTGGCTGATACAGTTGGGAAGTATTTGGGGGGTCATCGGAATGTCAAGTTAAAGTAAAAGCTTCAGTGGCCTTTGACATTGGTCTGGCAAATTCCTCGCTGTTCTCCCTGAAGGCTTTTAGTTTTTGGCCTGACTACAGCATTAGAGGTGGCTATGAAGGATTGGAGGGAAAAAAAGGAAAGGTGATTTTCAACCTGAGGTTTAGGCATGCAGGGCTTCCCTCAGTTTCGCCTCCTTGACATGAATGTAGTTTGTCGCTGATTGTAAATGCACACATGGCCAGCTGCCTTTACAGCCCTCTGGCTGGAATGGAGCCACCTGGGTCTCCTGTCACATGTTCCCTGGTCCCTGCTACACCCTCATGTATGCACCCTCATGAGCCTGTCTTCCTGTGCTTCAAGCCAGTCTCACTATGATAGTGACATCACGGGATTTTATGCGTTGCCTAAAGTGACTCAGTTTTTAAGGTGTGTCTGCTTGGTTTAATTGGCCTTTTCTTCCTTTTCCAAGTTGAGACCAAAGGTCTCTAGTGTTTTGCACTTTGTGTCTTTAGATTACTCAAGGCGATGGCTCAGGGAGGTGATGAAAGCAAGGATTCACGTTACACATGTCTGGTCTGCTTTTTACGAGGAACATCACTGCATTCTTGGAAGAAAGATCAAGTGCTTTGAAACCATCAGTTTTATCATCTGAAAAATGGGATTGTCCTATATTTTTATGATTGTCATGAGATTACCATGTTTTACTCATTGTACATTAGTGTTTATTTTGGCTTACCTTTCTTTTTACATAAATTGGAGTTGTATATGTCTGTTTCTTCCAGTTTGAGAGGAATCTCCTCCAAACTTGTTTTTTTCTTTCCTTTTTCCCCTTGTACTCCCAGTTCACTTCCTTGCTCTTTCTGGCCCTTCCGTTACTTTATCTCTGGAATTTCATGGATCTTGCTGCTGAGCATGAAGTCAACAGCAAACCAGCTCAGCAGGAAAGTGACTTCTCCAGCTTTGTTCAGACTTCTGATTTGCATATCCTAGTCCTCTAAAACATTTCCCTTCTCACGTCCATGTATCGCCCCTACGGAAAGCACACAGGTGTATGTACAAAGTACTCCATTTTTATATACAACAAACACATCACATACACATATTTACATATTGAGCATTTGCAACGTGTCCATACTACAGCCACTCAGTACCTCCCCGCCCTTTATCTCACCGTCTGGTCCAGAATGCCCTGCCAAACGGCCAGCAGATGCAAATTCCCAAGCCTTCCAGACCTGTGGGTGTTGTCAGGGCTTGACCCAGGGCATCTGTATGCCCCTTGACAGGTGTTGAATCGTGCAGACATGGGTTTCCATGTGGTTTCCATGCAGACCATGTGGTCTAGATGGAAACAAGAATGTGATCTTGGGTAAATATATTAATCCTCTCCCAGACTCAGCTTCTCCATCTTTAACATAAGGTGATGAGGAGGAGGGGGTCCTGTCTCTGTGTGTGACCACCCTATGGGGAGAGCTATGACTCCACAGTTTTCATGCCCCACTCCTTCATGCATTCTTCTGATATAGGGAGGTACTTGGACACCGACAGTGCAGGGACCATCGTGATGGCCAAGACACTGTCCTTGTCCTCAGAGATCTCTGAAACAGTAAATCTGATAGGCCTGAAAAGAAAACAAAAAGTGGCATCAGGGAGAGCAAGAAAATGCAAAAGTTGTAGGAAGATTATAATCAGAAAGGAACCGAATTGTCAGCTGTGAGATAAAACTCAAACGAAGGAAAGAAATTATTAAAATGACTGATTTGATGTGGAAAAGTATCAGGTCTATTTTCAATTCTTCCATTTTGGGAAAATAAGTGAGAATAAGGGAAATCAGTTGGTTTTTGAGCACCCTGCATTTTGCTTGCTCTTGACAATTAGGAACCCGCTTTACCATGTTGAAGAGTAGTGCCAGGTGCGGAGGAGAACATGTAGTGCCTGGAGACAGTCTTACTTTAAGAAGCTTATGCTGGCTGAACAGCCACAGGAGGAAGGCATGGGAGGGCACGAAAACAACTGTATGTGAATCAGAAATATGAAGTCGAAGATAGTCACAGCTGTCAGCAATGTGGCAAGCGAGGCAATTGAAGACTGCCTGAGAGAAAAAGAGTTCCATGGCTGCCTGGTGCTGTCATGGATGTTTTCATGGAGAAAATGACTGCTTAAGATTTCGGCATGTAGGGGTGATTGAAGGGAAGAAAGAAGGAAAGATGGGCACATCTAAAGAAAACAGCATGAGCAGGGACAAGAAGAAATGGAGACACCTGTTCAGAACAATAGCAGGGACCCATCTGGCCAGGAGCTTGGAGTTAGATGGACCTAGTTTCCAATTCTTGTTGAGTATGGTGGATTGAGTAGTCTTTGCCCCCAAATCTGTATATACTTGAACCTCAAAATGTGACCTTGTTGGGGCAAAAAAAAAAAAAAAAAGGTTTTGGCAGATTAGTTAAGAATCCTGAGCTGAAGGCAGTTCAGGTTTAGGGTGGGTCCTAAGTCCACTGTGTGGTGCCCTGATAAGAAAAAGAGATTAGGGTACCAAGGAGACTCATGGTGAGGAAGGTCATATAGAGTTGGGGCATTTGTAGTTAGGAGTCAAAGAATGTCTGGCACCAGGCTTTGGCAGGATAACAGCCAGGGTGAGTCCATGATTTGGGTTTCTGGCATCTCTGACGGCAAGAGAATAAATTTCTGTCACTGTTATCACTTAGTTTATTTAGCCATTGGAAACTAAGCACATTGGTTTACGTAGGACAAATACCTTAGTTTGGATAACTGGCAATTTATTCATCCGAAAAGCATGAATAACAATGCTCATCTTCTAGGAGTAGCATGAGGCTTGAACAGGAAGCACTTGACTCACTAACTCACTGTGCATACAAGAGGTGGGAAAAGAGCAAGCAGGAAAGGTGAGCTAGAGGACAGTGCGGGACCACTGAGTACCAGGCTGGGAAATCTGGACTTGGTTTCAAAGACTAGGGCGGGTGTTCACACAGAGGTGTGGCAGGCTGTGTTTCAGGACAGCCCTAGAGAGCTGAGCCTGGCAGGAAGTGGAAGGCAACAATCCAGGGATTCCTCCAAAGGGCCTGGCCAAAGGCTCTGCCTAAGGCATTGCAGATAGAGGGAGGGAAGTCATGGACCGGAAGCTTAATCTCCAAAAGTGCACTAGGAATATTTTTTGTTGGATTGAGTACACACGTCTGGCAGCATGAAAAGTTTGGCATGAGAAGTGCTCACAAAACAATGAGACATGGTGCCCCCAACTGCCAGATAGCAAAGTGACTGAAAGAGGGACAGAGATAAGCCACTCAGGGAGCCGAGTGGCCATGGCATCAGTGGAGGTAGGATGTAGATTCCACCTCCATGGATACCTAGATATCACACCCAAAACCACAAGAGACCCCAAACCGTCACTCAGCTGGCTCAGTCCAACTGCCAAAGAGATGAGAAAGTGAGTATTGTATGCTTCCTTTTCTTCCAGTGAGGCTTGGGGCAAATGTCTGTAAGCCAGACTTTGGTTTCTGAAGGAAGGAAAGTGATTCTGCAACTGTGTATTTGTGTGTGTGTGTGTGCTGGTGAGTGGGGCAGATACAGAGAGAGTGGTTTCATACTTACAGGACAGGTTGAAGACTGCCCATTAGAGTAGTTTGAAATACCAACTGGACTGTAATCCTGTTCCACTTTGCAATGTGATTTCCCCGTATGGGGTTGCCATCAGTGGTGCTATTTAGTTTAACCTCTCCAAAGGAAACTGAGCATTCCAGTGGGATGCACACCTTCTGCAACTGAAGGCAAACAATTGTTACTTGGGTTTGCTGGGACCGTGGTCAATTAAGTCACAATGGAAATGTACCTATGTCATCTGTTGAATTGAAACTTTTAACTTCTTGATTCTCAGTGGAAAAGCCATCCTCTACTGTCAGGATTTCAGCAAGATTAAGACGTGAGAGGCTTCTAGTACCGCCCAGAGGTCCCAAGGGCCATGCTTGATGTGGAGAAATCTGGCTGCCTTGAGGGTGATGTGAGACTATTGTGGAGGGCACGGTACTTGTACACATGTATGTCCATATATAACACACCCATTTGCACAAGTCTCGCTTAAGGGTAGGGAATGATTGCAGTAGAGATGACAGATGTTTTGTGTCTGTTGGACTGGGTTGTCTCCTGGGGAGGAGAGCACCCCAGATACAAGGGAAGGCAAGTGAGTGACTATTGGAAGGTGGGCAAGGAGCAAGGGGCAGTCAGTCAGCTTTTATTTGACCAAAAACACAAGCATAGGTTTTAAAAGTAGTCATTTATTTTTCTGTAAACATCAGACCAGACAGTGGAAATCCTATTAAAAAACCCAACAACAAAAGAAATTGCCTTGTGATTCATCTGCTTGGTTATAAGATGGAGCTGGTGGTCTGCCATAATGTGTTTTAGTATTTGGAAATAGCAAAGTGAGGAACTTGATTTATTTGAAACATGGTTGGGCAAAAATTGTTCAGAGCTGAGAGAGAAAAGAACATTAAGTGAAACCAGGGCCTCTAGATGTCTTTTGGCCAAGATCTACAACCCATGAATCTACAACTCAGATGGGCAGGCACTGTGCTTGGTGCTCCCATGTCTGCTGTCCCTTAGTGCTGTGTGAAGGGCATAGTCTAATTATCACGTGTGAACATCTGAGTCAGAGCCAAGATGATGGTTTGGATGTGGATGGTGTAGCTAATGCTTATTTGTCTCTCTTTGTTATTCAGCAATCCACGCAGACCTGCTAACTCCAAAAGATGACTCAAGTTAAGAGCATGAGAGGACCTTTCTTATCAGATCTGCCTCCTCCTTTTTACATACCAGCCAGAAGCTGGGAATCTGTTGAGTGTAATCTGCTCTTGGTGACTTGGTAACCCAGTTGGCCTGGAACTCAGGGATCCAGGACTCAGCCTAATGGCACCGAGCTCACAGCCACGTTCCCTGGATCCAGGCTGCGGGTGGCTGCCTCCCTTCCCCATTCTTCAGAGACACTCTTGGTCTTCTTGAGCTTTGAGAAGCTACTCTATAAACCTTGTACAGAATCCACGATCAATTTTCTGCCAGGGAAAAGAATTGTGCAAGAGACACTGGTTAAGTGGTGATGTGCTACTTCTAGAATATGCTAGGCTTGGAGTTGAAAAACCTGAGGTATTGGTTTTGCTAATTATTAGTGAGTTCTGCAACACTAATACACATACATACATATATGTTTATGGTAATGATATCAAGTTCAGAGGGGTTTGAAGAAGACAGGGAGAAGTAAAAGTGATTTGTAATCCTTGAAGGAAGTCCA